GATTTAGAATAAAACTTTTAAAGTGAAAAACATGGAAATAAAGTTGGCACTGAAAACCTTGGAAGAAACGAGAAGCGATTAACAATACAGGTCACCATGAAGATGAAAAGTACTGTGGAACGTCACTGGAAACCTCCTCATATAGCCAGAGATGTGTCATAAAGATTATTTTGGACTGAACTGTGGAAGTGTATACTATGTGAGCCATGTCAATAAAACTATTTTTAAAAAGATTATTTTGTAGTAGTCTACAAAGTCTACTTTGGTGCGCAGCACACTGGAGTGTAAAAGCTGTGAACAGTCATCGAAGGTACCACTATTATTGGTCTCCTTGTCTGGAGGAAAATTGAAGATACATAGAAGCAATTAGTCCAATGGACTAATGGGCCACTCAAACGTCAATCTCCAACAGCCCTACACGAAAAAAACTACATTAAGGCTGCGGAACACTCACGCCTCAGGCCTTATTATGCCCGAGAAATCATCCATACCAGCTAACATCACAAGTCTCACCAAAAAAGAAGCAGTTCTAGCCACCACATGAGGGTGAATTAATCAAATGTCCAACCATTTATAGTGACTATGTGTTTTCATTGATAATCTTATCTGGCCCAAGAAAGATGTTATAAATATCCAAATGGCGCTTTGGGAGAAAAAGGTTCCCTACCCCTGAACTAGATGGTACACCAATTATCAATATCAACTGCTCTGTAAGGGATTAAGTGATCCCGGATAGAATGGGTGAACATTTTTAACAAAATTCAAAATCATAAAGAGCAAGCTTACTGGTGGAATAGAGACTGGTAGAACCCTGATAATAGGGCTGTTAGTTGGCCCTTTGGTCTGGAAATGAACTTATTCCAAGGCTCAATTCTCACCCAAATAACAGACTAGTCTATAAGGGAATAATGACAGAAGTGAGGGTCAAGCACCTTATAATAATTAACCACTGAAGATCAAAAAGGTATTACCCCAAGGACAAAACTCAAAATTAGAAAAGGTGGAATAAAGCAAGAAACACAGAAAGCTGGGTAAGTGATGCTACATTACACAACCAATAAGTAGAAACAAAATGTGTAGGAATTACTGAATGCAAGGCTGATGATGTGTTCTGTAAATCTCCACTCAATTCACAACAAGAAGTTTTGGGATTTCTCTGCAAAAATATGAAGCTATTTGGATGAGGTCACATCATAAGGAAAGGACGGAAGGCAATAAAATTTATAAATAGATGACTATTAAAATAAATTAGGAAAATTTTAAAAATAAAATAAATTAGGGATACCAACTTAAAAAGTTAAGAGAAATATGTGTATTATTATTAAAAGTTGGATGGACGACCATGGGTATGTTGGCATACAGCAAGAGGACCTTTGATTCACTACAATAACACCAAGTAGATCTACAGGTAAAGATACTAAATTCAGAATCCTTCTAAGCTAGAGGTGACAATGATATTTAAAGTAGATATCCAGCAAGTAAATGAAAGTAATTGGGAGAGCTGGGTTAGAAATAAAAATATGCAAGTATTCAGCTGAAAAGATAGTTCATAATTACAGAAAAGCATAAAATGTACAAGAAAAAGGGTTCGCATTGTGTCAAATGTGAGATCATGTCTGAAACTAAAAACAGGTTACAAAATAAGCAATTAGGAATGCAAAAATGTATAACTCATTTTAAGAAAGGATGATGGGTACAATAGAGAGTTGAATATAGAAGATCAAAGGTATAAATTTGACTTAAGCAGTTAAAACTTTGTCAGCAGATCCCCTAAGATGCACGCTGGATATTATCTGGTTTTCAAATTTTTTGTATTTTT